GTTACATGGCCCTTGATCAAGCCCTACCAGGCCTTTTTGGATCACTTGTTGTTCCCTTGTCCCTGGGTTTGTTAACACTACTTCCTTCCCCCCACCTCTCCCTCTCCTATGTCCCCCTGAAACCGTCGATACCATTGTTTTCTCCTCCAGATTGTTTATCCATCTTATCTTATCTAGGTAGACCTGCAGAGATAATAATATGCACAAAAAGACCCCAGCAAAACAAAGCAGCAAAAGAAAACAAAACAACAGAAAATAATGACCAAAAAAAGAAAGAAAAGCCTGTTAATAGTTCCAGGTCTGTTTGTTGACCTTTAGTAGTGTTTTCTGGTCAAGTCTGATGGAGTGCCATGCCCCGCCCCCAAAATCTATTTGTGGTACTTCCTCGGGACTTCCTTGCTCTGTTCCCTTTGCTGTTGTGTTGCACGCCCTTAGTGTTTTGCCTCAGTGTGGTCGGGTCATATTGGGCACAATTCCCACCCTGTGTCTCCAGTGCTGTCCCCCGTAGGGCTATGGTGCCGTGAGGAATGTTGTGTCTCGTAGGGTGGTCTGTGCATTGGTGACTAAGGACTACAGTCTTTGGGTGGGGCTGGGTGTTCCACCAGTCTCTATCATTTTGAGTTGTGTTCCACATTTTTAACTCACAATGTAGACCTGATGTACTCCATTTCAGAGTATTTGGTAGTGGTAGCTGGGCACCATCTTGTCCTTCTCGTCTCAGGGTTTGGAGGTTGAGGTTCCAACGGTCCATTTGACTAATTCCATGAATTCTTCATTTTTTTCACTCTTCTTTACTCCTTATAGGGAGACCAATAGTTGCACCTCTCACAAGCTTTTAAGCCCCTAGTTGCTACTCACCAAAGTAGGATGTAGAACATTTTCTTGTGGTCTATGTTATACCAATTGACCTTGATGTTCTCCTAGCCTGTGGTCTTGAGTCTCTAGCCCAGCTTCAGTCCTATAAAGTTGATAAGCTTTCAATTTAAGCACTTGGGGTAAGAATACCAAAACAGATTAGATTCATCTAAGTGCTTCAGAGGGAAAAAAAAAATGAAGCTGAGAAGTAGGACGTTCAATTATAGTTTATAGTGTTGACTTAAAGTTCCAATAACAATAGGAGATACAGAGTACCTGATTGTTTCACCATTAATGATACTAAGATTAACTGTTGTATTAGGGTGGGAAAAGTCTGATAATGTCATTGTACAATTAAACTGTCTCCCCTAACCAGAATGTAGTTGTTGTGGTGCATGTACCCTTGATAAGGCTTACTTTTCATTTCTATAAATGAAAAAAAAGGGCAGCTAAGCAGAATAAATGAATACATTTAAATCACCTGCCATTAAACCTCTTGCTATCAAATTGACTCAGACTCATAGTGACCTTATAAAATACAGACCAGCCCCTGAAGGTTCCCAAGGATGTAATCGTTATGGGAATAGATTGCCATACCTTTCTCTCGCTGAGTAGGTGGGAGGTTCTAACAGCAGATCTTTTAGTGAAAATTGCCTAAAATATAGTAAACATTTACATAAGATGGCCATTCATATTTTGGTTGCAACTCCACCAGATTATTTGGGCAGAAGAATCAAAAGTTCTTCTCCAGTTCCCCCGAATAATCTCCCTTTCTAAAAGAGGGAGGTAGGGTATTTTGGAATCTGACAGAGGATGGCAGTTTGGCTTCCGCACAGTATGAGGGTGAACAAAAAATCCTGGTTGTAGTAGAAAGTGAGCAGGTCGAAATCACCATTGCCCTGGGGGGAAAAGATGAGGCTTTCGGTGCCAGTAAAGATGTACACCCTCTTTTTGAGAAACGATGTACAAATGCGCTTTACACAATTGATGTGTGTATGGATTGAGATAACAGTTGTATGAGCCCCTAAGAAAATGTTAAAAAAAAGAAAAAGAAAAAAAGCTGTACACCCTCAGAGACCCAAACGGGTCCTTGTGAATCAGGGCAGACTTGATGGCAGCGAGTTTTTGAGCTTGCACAGACAAGCGTTTTCACTTTGAATGCCCCCTTAAACCTATCATGGAGATTACCCCTATATCAAAACTCAGAAAGATTAAATAACCTGCCCAGGAAGCGCGTTAGGAGGCGGAGGCAAGAAACTTGAATCTGAGGTTCAACTGTGTCCCGGAGCGAAGGAAGAGCGATTGTGTAAAAACGTTTACATGTAATTTTCGCCTCCTGGGTAAGCTTTTTTTGACCATCTTATGAAAAAGTGAACTCCCCGCTTCACTTCTTTCTCCATAGCGCGCGCGCGCGTGCGCGCGCACCCGATTCCATGAGCGCGGGTAGAACCTCGCAGGGACCCGTAGCACTCCGGCGCCTGATAGGTCAAGAGGAAGGGCACGCTTCGCCGCGCGCCAGTCGCCGGGCTACGTCGCAGCGCAGGTTGCGTCATCAACCCGCAGCGTCGGCGCTCGTGGGACACGTCATTTCCGAGCGGCGCCGAACGGAGTAGCAAACGGTCGGTCGAGCACCATGCCTAAGTGAGTGAGGGGGCCCTGGAACCTGGGGGTGGTCGCGGTCGCCGCCTGTGGCTCTGTGGGGGTGCGGAAAGCATGTTCTGGCGAACGGAGCGCTTTGGGGAAGGGAGCGAGGCTTGGAGTTAGTGGAGTGAGAGTGGCACGCTAAATGCCCGCTTTGAATGTGGACGTGCACCCGTTTAAGGCAACAACAAAACAACGTGGGTATTGTTAGGGACGCGTAAACGTCTAGAATCATGAATATGCCCGATATTTTTGCTTTTATGTTTGGACCTTCATTGAATAGCGCTTTGGTGGGTGCACATGATGTAGCTAGTTGTCATTTTCTCTTATCTCTTTCCAGGTTTTATTGTGACTACTGCGATACATACCTCACCCATGACTCAGTAAGTGGTCTTTCGATCAACAATTTTAAAAGCTTAAAAATTAAATTAGGTGCTTATTTAGGTGTGAGCCCTTTCCCGTCTACTGAAATAGTGTTTGAAGAAAGCAAAGTCGGAGGCGTTTGTTTTTCATTCTTCCTGTAACTATTCATAATTGGAGAGCATTAGCAAGAGGTAGTAGTCTTCCAGTGTCTTCATTGGATACTTGAAATAAAGCTCTGTCAAGTGTGAAGATGAAGAATTTTACATGCAGAATAAGTTCTGGGAAAGTGTCCCAAAGCTCAAACATTTGATGCTGTCAAGGTACTCGAATGTTTGATCCTGGGGATTAGAAAGACATGGTGTGATTTGGAGTAGACCGTTTTGTTTGGTTGAAGACTATGTAGCAAATAAATGGCTTAGGATTGAATGCTTACTTTGGGTCAATGTTCCAAATGATTTACATGCACCAATTTGTTTATTGCTTATGTTAACCCTACAAAGTTAATACATGATTAGGAAAGAAACTGAGGCAGAGCGTAGTTAACTGTCACAAAACTAAGTTGAATGGAACAGGCAGGTGAACCCAGATAGTCACTTACCTCTGGAGTTCTTTTTTTTTTGGGGGGGGGGAAGTGGGAGGGGGTGGGGGGGAGATGGAAAGAGGAGCAGAGACAGACAGGGAGAGATGGAGACACAGAGACAAAGGGAGGGAGATAAGGAGACACAGGGAGAGATAAGGGGCAATGGAGAGAGATACAGAGAGATAGGGAGAGACAGAGAAATGAGAGGGAGGGAGATACACAAAGAGAAATGGAGAAAGACCGGGAACGCTGGGGTTCTTAAAATCGGTTTTAGGAATCCCTTTAGGATTCCTTAAAATGATTGGATTATGGAAGGTCTGGCTATTACTGTTTGCTGTGCTTGAACTTAGAACTTTAACGTTAAAAACACCTTATTTACAGTCACTTAAAAGTAACAATAATAAGCTTTCTACATATACAAACAGCACTTGAAATGAAAAAACTTTGTAAAACGCAAAAAAGTCAGAAGAATAGCACAATTTTTACATTTTTGCAAATCTTTTTCGTGTCTGACTTCATGTTGGAGACAGCTGGATCCTCCTCCGTTTCTGCATTACCTGTGTTGCAATGTGTTGCTTTGGTTGAAGTATATGGATAAAATTGCTTCACATATAGATGTCTAGCTGAAAAGAGTATTTGAATAGCCTTTCTGGAAAATTGTGGATATTCTTTTATGCACTGCACCAAAATTCAACATTGTTGTGATACATTATAATAATCTTGCACTTTGAGTGACTTGCCGTACATGTATTGGTCATCTGAAAAATTGTGGCTATGCAGCTCTTCTAGATGTTGAAGCATTTGATTATAAATATTTAAAATTCCATTTATGAGTGTCATTTGCCATTTAATCCGAAACACCTTTAATTATTGAAAAGGTGTCGAACTTATAGAGGTAGATAAAGATGCTCTACAAATTATGAGTTTTACTAGAAAACTTGAAATTTATGATTAGAATTGATTTTCTTGAAGTGCCTTTGTTCAGTTTTGAGAAGTCTAAATAACCATTTTGTTTCTCAGTTATTTCTCAAATAAAATGATGTTCCTTAAAAAGAGATAGCGTAGAACTCACAACTTAAACAATTGCAGCCCCACTTTTCCTTGACAATGATCTTATTTTGGTAGACAGAAGTGCTCTTTGCACACTGCTCATCTGTTACCTATCACCAGAATATTAAAAAAAGATACTCATAAAATTTGAGATTTCATAAATTAATAGTTTAACTTTCTTTTCTTTTTTTTTTAATAGTTTCACTTTCTCCATCAAGGACAGTCTCAGTGAAACTGTCACTACACTCCTTCCCTTTCTTCCCAATTAGGAATTCATGACGCGTACTAGTACTTTTTTTTTTTTTAATGTACTAGTACTTTAAGATGCCACTGCCAGGAGTTTGGAGAAAGATGAGGCTTTCTACTCCCATAAAGAGTTAATAATCTTGGAAACCCACAGGGGTAGTTCTGCTCTGTCTTAATAGAGTCTGTATGGGTCAGAATTGACTTGATGGCAGTGTGTGTGTGTGTGTGTGCGCGCGCGCGCGCATGCTGTAGGAGTTCAGCATCCTTACTGCAAATGTCATTTGAGGAAGGATAGAGGAGTGAATCAACTAGTGAATGAGAGGGAAAAAGTGTTACCCACACACAAGGAAGGAAAAGCTGGAGGTCAAAATCAGCTCAGCCCACAGTGCAGGGCAGCTGACAGAACGGGGGAGTCCCTTTGCTCTTCTCCACACAGGCCTCCTGAACATAGATGCAGCCAGTCCCCAGCTAATTGGCTAGTTACCACAACTTAAACAATTGCAGCCCCACTGGGACTATTGAATATTAACTGATATAATCAGAATGGGAGCAAGCTGCCCTGGGGGTGGCTTTGCTAGTCCAGAGCCAGTAGTGGCTACAGGGAGAGAGTCAGGATCTTCCTTTGCTCCCCACAAGCCCTTGGTGACCAGAGGAGTGGCTCGACCTACCCTCACTGACCCAGAGGCTGATTGTACTGCCAGTCTCACCCTGGGGGCTGTAGAACACCTAGAGAGGGCAGATCTGTAGGTGGTTTGAACAGACCGCCTACTATGGGGTGTGGCCATTATATGTACAAATCCAAACCTGGTGGTTGACAAAGAGAAAGCAAATCGCTTGTTCTGGCTTGGAATTTTTGCTTGTTTGTGCTCTTGTTCCACTTGAATCAACTGCTTCCACATGACCCAGCCATTCCTATACCTCCCAAAGCTACACCCTATTGGCAAGGGGTCACCGTCTAGCTACACATCAGATACCACTGTATCATCAAATAACTACAAATAATATGACAATGTATTGGAGAAAACAGGCAATATTAGTTTATATGAAGAAACAAGATCCAGTGGTATAAACAAGTGACCAATACAGAGAACCAAAAGCCCTTTCCTCAGAAGAAAAGCATTGGCAGTTGGATTAGGAATTCAGAAGAATGGTACTTAAGTACTTACATGGAGTGAGAGAAAGATCAAGAAGGCCACAAATAATCAAGGGGGAAACTTAGAAGAATTCAAGACAACACTAAGAACCACCTGAAAAAATAAATGAAGAATTAGAAAACCACGTACAAAACAGCAAAAGGAAATCTCGGAGATTAATTCTAAGGTTTAGAAATCGATAATGCACTGAAAGAGCAAAGCAGGAGAATTAAAGCCATCTAAGGCCAACTAAATTAGTGAGCTTAAAGATAAATCTCTCTCAATATGCTAGAGGAACAATCTTTTTAAAAGAACGGAAAAGTCTGGAGAAAGCCTATAATCTGTGGGACACGATCAAGAGGTATAATATACATGTGTAGGAATTCCAGAGTAGGAAGAAACAGAAGAAAGTCATCCCAAGAGTTGGTGGAAGAAGACTTCACCAGCGTCCTGAAAAATGAGAAGATAAGCATTCAAGACGTTGAGAGAGCCCCAGACCGACTAGTAGAAGTTTCCCATGCTGATGGAAGCAGTTCTGTAGAGTGGACCTGAACTGTAAACTAAGTCCAGTGTGTATCTTCTGGACTTGTGTTGGTTCCTTCGCCATGAACTTACTATGAGGTTTTAGGCAGTCCTGTGTTTGTGTGAACAGTGGCGTGGGAGGCTGGTGGCAGCAGTTTGAAGTGTAGACACTGGAAAGAGTCGGCTTTAGTCATGCTTGCTGCGGTGGAAGTACCCGTGTGAAGAGTAAGTACTGTCAGGTGGCCAGGAGGCACATCTGCTTGAGAGCTAGTCTTGCTTTGTTACTTACCAATTACATGTTTTGAGGCAAGTGGCTTACTGGAGGCCTCACTTCTCTTTTCAGTAAATAGAATGTTTTGGGGGTTCACTTTATTGCATTATCAGTACACTGAATTAAATGCCCACATTCTGTTTGATGTATTTGAGCTAAGGTGAATTTAGAACCATCCAGTTTGCTTGTTTTATGAAACACTGTTAGTAAAATGTACTACATAAAATGTTGCAGTGTGTAATTTGCTGATCTTATTCTCATGGCAACCCTTAAATAAAAATTGGATTTACATAAAGATTGAGACAGTGCTTATAAAGTAGGTAGGTAGCATGGTGCCTGGCACTTAATAAATACAAACTTCAAAAGCAATAGGTTAAATATGTGGTGTTCATGAAATGCCATTCACACCTCAGTGAGAGTACTTAAACAAAACAACCCAATAGGACTAGGGAGCGAGAGACGAGTCCTGTAGGTGGCTTGAACAGTCTGTGCTGTCGGGCCATCGTGTTTTACAAGAACATTATGTATGCTGTGTTCTTTTTCCATGGACTAATTTAAGAAAGGACATGAAAATGGCATTGCGTCCTAAATGAGGGGTTAGCAAATATTCTCTTTAAATGCCACATGTGAATATTTTGGATTGTGGATCATATGGTGTCTGTCAAAATCACCCAGCTCTGCCCTTGTGAAAACCATAGTCAATACATAAATGAAACAACGTGGTTGTGTTTCAGTAATCCTTTTGGACACCTGCCCAAAGCATGCCGACTTCTGAAGTGAACAATTGCTGTAGTAGGTAGAGGAGCACAGTCCATTGCCAGATACTATTTACAAACGATGCTCTGGCAGCACGGTGTTGGCCAGGCTACCGTCATGAAGGCGAAGCGTTAGAAAATACCTGCTTTGGAGATTTGTCTCTGTGACTTACGTGACCTTTTTGTTTTACAGCCATCTGTGAGAAAGACACATTGCAGTGGTAGGAAACACAAAGAGAATGTGAAAGACTACTACCAGAAATGGATGGAAGAGCAGGCTCAGAGCCTGATTGACAAAACAAGTACGTCCCAGTCTCCTGCTGTGCGGTGGAAGAGTGGTTCCTTCTCTCCCATGCCCGTCACGCTGTTGTTTTCACAGAAGCCGCTCATCCCAAATGATAAATAGGGGCATTTGGACATGTTGAATGAAAGAAGTGGAAAGTCATTCGTTTCCCAGGGATATAGGGACACGTTGGAATGAATTATTGAGAATCAAGAAAATCAGCTATAGATAAAGCTGAGAGGGAAGGCAGAGAAGAGCCAAGTGGCCTAACATTGGCTCTAGCGACGTGGACCAAATTTGGCAGCAAATGTATTTGGTTAAACCCAGAGTTATTAGAACAATTTTCCTGTGTTGACAGGAAAGAAAGCCATGCCGTGAGACTGTAGTTCTGTCTGTCGAGTTTGAGAGAGTTTACTGATGTTTGTAACTTCTTCCAGCCCTGACAAAAGAGAGAGAAAATAAGTGATGTGTCAGAATCGTCTGAACATGTTTTGCGTCCCTGTTGCTCACACCGTACTCCTTTTACTAATGAGGAACATTTCTTGTTGTACAGGCCAGTTGGGTTCAAGGCACTAACAGGAAATTGTTGCAGTTCTACTTTAGACCATCCTGGCCTATTTGAAACATGACCTTTCTTACTCATTGTGCCCAGAGCCGGTAGGCAACTGTGGGCTTTGTGGTTTGAGTTTTAAAAACGAATTATTTATTGTGGAAAATTTCAATGTAGAAAGAAGTTTGATGAGTGAGTTTCCTCCCAGCTGCACCAGTGGCCAACCCCTGGTCAGTCTTGTTTGTAGCAAGGTTCTCAACCTTGGTGCGGTTGGCATCCTGACCCAGATAATTCTTTGTTTGGGCTTGAGGGGGGTCGTCCCTTGCATTGTAGGATGTTTACCAGTGAACATCCCAGTACGTAGATGCCAGTAGCAAACCCCAGTTGTGACAACCCAGACTATCTCCAGGCATTGTTCAATGTCCTCAGGGGGGGAAATCGCCCCAGTTTCGAACCACTGAATACCTTCATCTACTCCCTCTCCTCCTAGGTTATTATGGAGCAAATCTCAGACATCCCATTTGTTTGCAAAAATGAATTATGATGTAATCTCTTTTTTTCCCCCCATTTGAAAAGATGTTAGACATTTTTTGGCATTAAAAGGTTAGTATTACGTTCTCTTACTTATTTTCCATATGCTGCAAAGTAATTTAGGATGTGTAACTTTTTAATGAAGGACTTCTAGAGAATAGAGGCAAGTCCCGAGGGACCAACACGATGTCTGTGATGGTGCGGACGTTGAGTCTGCTGCTGGGAGGGCCGTTTAGCCTCTCCCCTTTAGTCTTCACAAGCTGCCCTCCTCTACCCTGGGTGTGAGCTGTCTTTCTGATTGGAGAAGGCCCTTGTTGGCCTTCAGACACCAGGCAGAGGCAAATAACGCTCACCAATTTCCACTCTCGGTCATTCTTTTTGATCTGGTTCTAATGAATTATTATTGATTGACTTGACTCATTTGACCTGTGCACGATGAGGTTTCAAAAAGATTGTGGCAAAATCCCATGATCTTTAATTCCATCTTTTGAAGCCCCCTCATGTTAGTGTTGGAGCAGAATGGGGTAGGTCTCTACTGCACATAGCACTGAATTGGGAAGGGCTTAGGTTCAGGAATAAACTTTGGGGTATATATTTGAGTATTTATGTGTGACTTCCTTTCAAAACCAAGTATCAGGCTGTATTGTTTCTGTCATAATTTTTATTACAATTAACAGAGGATTGGATTGGATTTTTCTTTTAAAAATTAAAACCTCCTGCAGGGCATTGTGCTCATTGCACTTCTAGCTCCTTGTATCAGTTTCAGACCAAAACTGCATATTGCTTTGGTTCAGTACAGCACAGGTAGGAAGGATAAAACGTCTCACAAAGCGTGGCCTTTGGGCATGCAACGTATATTGATTTTTCGAACAAAACGATGACTAGCTGGAATGGGTTGCAAACCACATCTGCAGATTAAAGATGACTGCTTCTCTTCAGTGTGTGACACTGACTGATAGGACTTTTTTTTTTTTGCCATCCTCCCAAAGTTAAGCCGTAGAAATCCTGGCTGAGTAAACAACTAACTAAACCCAAATGACTAAACCAGTTCATTGCCATTGTAGCTGGCGAGTATGTCTGGCTGGTTTAAAAACAACAGAGGCCTTGGTGTAGTAACTAGATGAATGCTTGTTAGCGTGAAATAATTTGGAACCATGAAACATTTGAAAGAAAGCTGTTATTTTAGTAAAATGGTTGTTAATTGCTTATTCATTATATGTCATCTTTCTCTCTCCCTCATCTGTAAAGCGGCTGCATTTCAACAAGGAAAGATACCTCCGACTCCATTCTCTGCTCCTCCTCCAGCAGGGGCGATGATCCCGCCTCCCCCCAGTCTCCGTAAGTTTAAAGTGCTGTGTTTTATTATCTGAAATTACCTAAAATTATTTGAATTACTAAAGTTATTTGAAATTACCTCACAGTTGACTTTGGAATATTCAGTTGATTAAGTAGAAAACTTTAGCAATATAGTTTCTGGAAAAGCTTTAAAGTTAACTTTTGGTTATATCGGTGTTAGGATATTTTATTTGTGGTATCCCAAGTGTGGGTCTGAGACACATTCAAATGCAAAAGGCAGATGTACCTGTGATTAGGTGAGCTAATATATAACTATTGCAAGGTACATGGAATTATTCACTGCTGTGAACTCTGTTAGATCCTTGAAATCACTGACAAGCTCCTTTGTCTTTCCCCTATTTTCTAATTCACCTAATCGGTGTGTACACACCCCCTTTCTACCTTTCCACTTAATACTAACATGATGGAGCTCTGCTGCCATGGTTATGTGTTGGGCTGCTAACCACAGGACAGCAGTTCGAAACCACTAGCCTCTTCACAGGAGAGGGATGAGGCTTTCTACTCCTGTAAAGAATTCTAGTCTCAGAAACCCACGGGGGCAGTTCTACCCTATTGTTTGGGGTCACTATGAGTCGGAAACAACTCGATGGCGGTGAGTTTGGTTTTTGGAGTACTAGTAGGTATCTTGTGAAAGAGAAGTGGGTGGTTGAACGTGAAGGGGATCAAAGGCTTCGCTCTGGGAAAGGTCGTTTCTGGTGGTAGAGAGGAGACGATTGAGTACCGAGGCTGTAAATTCTTTAGCTCTCCTGGAAGGTTCAGATTGCAATCCACATCAGAGATCTCAGCTGAGTCTTGCAAGTAATCATGAGTATGAACACAATAGGCTGTTTGAAATAGTTGCCCTTTGATGCAGGGGGGAGGTCATTGAGTGGTGCAAACAGTTAGTTGCTCAACTATTAGATAGCTGGTGACTAACAGTTGAACTCACCCAGGGGTGCCTCAGAAGACAGAGCTGGAGGTCTGCTTTCAAAAAGTCAAAGCCTTGTAAGCCCAGTGGAGTGGTTCTACTCTGTACATAAGAGGTTGCCATGAGTAGGAATCACTGCTAAAAAGCAACTGGCAGCAGTGCAAGAGAGTGGGCAGTGGTGGAAGAGTTGTTACCTTTTGTCTGGGACCTGAATTCTACTCATGGCCAGCGCACCTCAAAATCACCTACTACCTGTCTTATTAATGGAGACATGCATTCTTTTTTTTTCTTTTATCATTTTATTGGAGGCTCATACAACTCTTATCACAATCCATACATACATCAATTGTGTCAAGCACATTTGTTCATTTGTTGCCATCCTCATTCTCAAAACATTTGCTTTTTACTTGCGCCCTTCATATCAGCTCTTTATTTTTCCCCCTCCCTCCGACCCCCCCTTCCTCATGAACCTTTGATACTTTATAGATTATTATTATTATTATTTCGCCCACTTTTCTGTTGTCCATCCCCCAGCGAGGAGGTTATATGTAGGTCCCTGAAATCGATTCCCCCTTTCTACTCCACCCTCGAGGTATCGCCACTCTCACCACTGGTCTTGAAGGGATCATCTGTCCTGGATTCCCTGTGTTTCCAGTTCCTATCTGTACTAATGTAGCCAGATTTGTAAGGTATAATTGGGATCATGATAGTGCGGGGGGTGGGGGGAAGCATTTAGGAACTAGAGGAAAGTTGTATTTTTCATCGTTGCTACATCGCACCCTGACTGGCTCTTCTCCTCCCTGAGACCCTTATGTAAGGGGATGTCTAGTTGCCTACAGATGGGCTTTGGGTCCTCACTCCGCATTCCCTCTCATTCACAGTGGTAGGATTTTTTGTTCTTTGATGCCTGATACCTCATCCCTTCGACACCTTGTGATCACACAGGCTCGTGTGCTTCTTCCCTGTGGGCTTTGTTGCTTCTGAGCTAGAAGGCTGCTTGTTTACCTTTAAGACCCCAGGAGCTATATCTTTTGATTGCCGGGCACCATCAGCTTTCTTCACCACATTTGCTTATGCACCCATTTGTCTTCAGCAATCATATTGGGGAGGTGAGCACACAATGGTATGATTTTTTGTTCTTTGATGCCTGATAACTGATCCCTTCGACACCTCATGATCACACAGGCTGGTGTGCTTCTTCCATGTGGGCTTTGTTGCTTCTGAGCTAGATGGTCCCTTGTTTACCTTTAAGACCCCAGACGCTATACCTTTTGATAGCCAGGCACCATCAGCTTTCTTCACCACATTTGCTTGTGCACCCGCTTTGTCTTCAGCGATTGGAGATGTGTATTCTAATACTAAACAGATTTCAGTGGACCTTCCATACTTATGATGGATTAGGAAGAAAGGCCTAGTGACCTATTTGAAAAAATCAACCAGTGAAAACCCCGTGGATGAAAACTGTCTGATTCTACTGTGCTTGGGCTTTCTGACTACAGCAATTGACAACAATGCAGGTGGAGCACTAATGACTGGCGAGCTCTTCATGGGTGCCCACCATCCCGGCTCTCACCTGAATGCATACCCTAAGTCACTTCTCTCTCTTACCCTACCCCGATTGCCTGCTACTCATTCCATCTTTTTTTTTCTTTTTTTGTGAGTCAGTGAGTGAGTCAGTGAGAGAGTTAGGCAGTGAG